ATCTACGAAACTGTAACGGAAGATGGACTTGCCTGGAGTTGATCCATGTTCAATTTCTGTCTGTATCTCTGCGGAAGCATTGGTGTAATGTGTAAAATAGGAGCAATCAGACAGTGTCAATAAGACATGACGGCAGCAGAAGCAGGATGGACTTCCAATGAAAGAAAATTCTCCAAAATAATAATTGTTTTTAAAATTAAAAAAACAATATATATATAGAGAGAAATAATGAAAAATATATGTATTTGGAAGAAAAAGGCAGCAAGCGACTGAATTTAGTTTAAAAAACGGCATTTACCTTATTAGTTCGCAAAGAGCTGTGATCAGTGTAAGAAATCCAGGTGTTAAAAATATAATTTCATGAATTATCACAATTTCCCCTGACATTATTTCAGCGTCATTTCAGCGTAGGCATTTACTTTTAAAGAAAATGAATTTCTGAGTATCTCGAGCTGCTATAGTAAATGAAATACGGCATTAACAGTTTTTTTTTTCTTTTGAAACAGACTGCTTCAGAACTAAATTTGATATTCTTTTATGTATTCTTATGCATTAAAAATACGTTAAATTCGTATTTTTCTATTTATAAATTCATCTATTCATATATATATATTCTTTTCTATTTATAAATATTTTTGTAAGCACATCTTTAGCAGTCATTAGATCCTCTGTCGAAGTGCCTCTTTGCAATTCCTTTTTTAAAGGAAATGCACCAGAAGCGCTAAAACGAGCTGTAATGAAATTTTTTAAATGGTGAGACATTGAAATAGGGCCAAAAAGACATAATGGATTCTTAAGCCGGACGTAAATGCTTATTCGTATCAGGAGAATAAGCAGCAATAAATATAAGGCAAAATTTAATTGTTTATAAGGAGAATAACATTTTCTTAAATATAAGTACGGGGAACGAAGAATGGTAGAGAAAGTTAGATTTCATAACTTTTGCAAAACTGAATTCTTTAACTTTGAAAATGTCCACACATGAATATTTGCATCATCTAAAACGTTTTTGTAGTTCCGAAAAAATAAAAACTGGGTAAGGACATCAGTTGACACGGTGGATAATTCCTATTATCTAAATCGGGTTTTGGCAATGTCAAGAAAATCCAGAACTTGATATCTTGCATTATAATCTAATTTATTTTCCATATGAAAATTTGCTGCGCATTCAATTTCTGTTGCACAGAAGGTTGGCTTGCAAAGCTGTATTTCCAACAAAACAAAATCAAAATAATAATTATAAAAAATTCTGAAAGCCTTCAAATTTTATATAGTTGTTTTTTAACGTTTTGTGTATTAGCTTTATTTAATAAATATCATGTATTTTATAACATGTTAACATAACGTTTCATAAGCATCATGCTATCATTTATTTAATAAATATCATTTAAACCTCATAAAACTAAATACAACAGCAATACCACAAAATATTTAAAAACAGCATGTCTTTAGAACTTCCGACAGACAGTCTCGCGCGGCTGGAAATAAAAAAATGCTTTTTTCCCGTGCACTGCTTTCTTTGAAATCGTTGACTTTCGTTAAAGTTATACACAATATGAAATAGATAACAGAACAAATTCAAAATTCGCGCTTCCAGGTGCCCATGTTCGGGTGGAGGATTAAGTTATTCAAATTTTGATGGTTCTACGTACCGTCGTTTTTCACATTGCGACATTTGATAAAAAATAGGCTGATGCGCTTGCGCTGAAAGGGTTTGCATTTATTGGCTGTAACACGTTGCAAGAAAATAGTGAAACCTTGAACCGTTCTTGCAGTTTCACCGTTCTTGCAGGTGCTGTTAAAAAAACAAGTGAACCATGTTTTGGTTCATCCTCGAATATTGAACCATGAAATGGTGCAACATTGCACTGAAAATTTTTACAGTGTAGAGCTAGAGATTAAAATCCATGGTTTCCCACCATGCTCTTGACAGTACCGAAATTTTACTACACGTCTTAAATATTCTTCTTACTATCTGATGAGATGAGGGCAATATTTCAAAAATTTCAGTCATCTTATTTGGTCCAAATGAAGCATATCTTCTAATGAGCATATCTTCTAATGCACTTTTTACAGCATATCTTCTGATGAGCTCACCATAACCAAAAGACCTCATTTTTAGCTAGCTCTAAGCGTACCTCATAAGATGACTTCAAACCAGCAGTGTTCGATAGTTGTTGAAAGATATTCTTCTGGCAGCTACTTTCAGCTTCAAATCATTAAACACGCAGTTCCTGGCACCTTCTCTGGTATTGGTCGTACATTGATTTATGCAAGCGAGTCTACTCTCATTAATCTTCTTCGAAACACTTGAGACTTGCGAACAGATACCACACTATGTTTTTCCCTTATATTCAACAAAAAACGTAATTTTTCTACCACTTGGAATGGAATTGTCGTTTTTCATCTTCAATAGGTCGTTTTCTTTACTTCATTCATTTTAGCTAGCACTGAATGAAAGTGGATATCGAAGCATGCACGTCATGGATTATAATAGTCGAAAAAGGAAGCTTAGTATCCAGGTCACCGTTATTAGGAGAAAATGAAGATAGTAAGGTGTTGCCATCTCTGGAAAGAAAGAAACTACCATCTGATGGGCAGCATTGCCAATGTTATTAGTTTTCTGCCAAATGTTTTTTGTATCTATTTAACACACAAAACGAAACGAAAGAAGAATTTATCAAGGAAGTCTCTTTCTCCTAGAAATATAATTCTCACGTTATTTGAATCAAAAATGACAAAAAATAATGTTTCGGCTGAGGTATATATCGCTGGATACCGGTAGTTCAGTATGGGTACAGCGAATGGGCTGACTGCCAGACAGGTTTCATGGTTTTCCCTATGTGTAACTTTGAAACCAGCCAATTTCCCTCTAAAATTCCTACAGGAATGCATCCTCCTTTATAAGCAGATAGCCCTTTCCACAGTTGCTTCACCTTAACCAATTATCCATATTAAAGAAGCTTTTATTTTAGGCAAGTGATTTGCATAAATTTTTACGGTACATTGACACATGTCTTTTTCTGCTATAGCGTACGTTTTAAATGAGGATACTTCTTTTAATGCTCATCTAATTTTAAATTATGTCATTATTTTCTACAAACCAGAAAAACATGAAAATGAAGCACAAAAGTGAAAGCAGATATAACATATTCATTATTTAGATTGATTTCAAGGTCCCGAGAAAATAAATATATGTAGTACAAAATAGCCTTTGGAAAGATTTAGTTATACTTAAAAAGGAATAACATTTATTTTAAAATTGTGATTTTTGAATAGAGAAAATAATTTATTTTTTATTTCTAACTATTTTATAAAGAAGAATGACATCATATATAAAAGTAATAAAATTTAAATTAGAAATCGCGTTAGTTTAGCTCTCGAGTCTAAATTCATAGCTATTGAGTTTTCTTAATACATATGTGGTAATTACTACCTTCTACAAAAGACGTCTAAGAAACTACTTAAAAGGAAAGCACGTTAATTTCATTTAAAGTATTTACATTTTTAACAAATAAGTTATATATACTCAATTAACTCTTCTTCGATACATTTTTATTTACGTCTTTATTCGTTTCGTCTTCCGTTTTTTATTTTTTTTTTCCAATCTTGAGTCCAACTAATCTAGTTGCCAACCGACAAAACGGGGGAAAAAACCATTAAAATAATTATATGTTGAGCAACCTGTACGCCATCTGGTATTCAACACTGGCGCTACACATATATATTAGCAATAAAATATGCTGTCATATATTTGTCTTATTAACGTACGCATTACTGATACAGCCGACACCGCTTAATATGATGGCAGTAAATGGGAAATGTTTGCCATTCAGATACTGTTATCAAATTGCAGAAGTCTTATTCGCTTGTGAACGAAAGCATGGAAAATATATCGCTTATTGTAATCAACAATCGGTTAATATGGTAAAAGACCTCCAAGTAAGGGATTAAGTTGCCAAATAGCTTGGTTTGTATTTTAGTCAATCATTATTTAAAACTAGTAAGAAAATCTATCGTAAAGTTTACATTGACATATTCTTTTCCAATGAGAGAGTCATCATAATATTAAGATTAGGAGTAACAATATTGGTCCAATAATTTTAGAAATGTTATAAATAATTCATAAACTTTTACATTTTCATTACTGGTATGCTGTTAAATTTTCTATTTATACGTTTCTAACTATGTAATAGATCAGTTAAATTCCATTGCTATTTTAAAGGATATTTTTTCTCATGGCATAATATTGTTATTCGATTAATGTTATCAAACTAGTCGGGTTAGTTAATGTTATTTAACTAGTAATATTAAAACACTATCATGCACAATCTTGATTACATTGAACTGCGCCTACTTTATTATATTTCACATTCATATATTCTTTGAATTTCATAATTAAATTTTTTTATTAAATTTTAATATTTTTATTTTGCGCCACAGAAAACGAGTTGATCCCCACATATATACCAATAGTTAGTTTACTAATGCGAATGATGTGTAATTAAAAGTGAAATTTCTGACGTTACTTGTATGAATAATTTTATGATTAGTCTATAGAACATTCATTAATTATATAAGCCTTCAGGAAATAGTAAAATAGAAAAGTATTTTTTGATAGATGAGATAAACCTCCAATCTTTAATTAGGTGAATTGCTTGCTTCTGAACTGTTCAGTTTCTGGTTAAGAATTATCATTTTAAATATTACTAGTTAAATAACATTAACTAACTTAAGTAAAATTTTTATGTTAGTGAAGAACTCGTTACTTAAGAAGCATCTATCAGAGAAAATATGAAAAAAATGCTTACCTTTAAGGTTTTAATTATTTTTATCAAATTAATTTGTGCAAAATATTTTATAAGATTTGATTAATCGATTATTGATAAGAAAGCCACGTGGAGGTTATCTAAGAGAGCTGATGTATTGTAAGAAATCGTAATCGAGTTACTTAAGGAAAACAGCTTAATGGTTACTATATACCATTAAGCCATTTAAAACACTTGCAGCTAAGATGCCTGTAATCGCTCGGAACTGACGATTTCTACTTTTGCAGTTTTTCGTTAGTATTCCATGTTTTTGAGCTTTGTGCTTCTCTTTTGGTAAAAAGTTTGTTATTTTACGAATTAGAAATCATTTTATTAAGTAATGCGATTTGAATTCTACTTATTTTATACTATTAGATTTAACTTCTCATTGTGGATTGCATTCTAGTACCTTATTCTGAAAACATGCAGCTTAATAACTCTTTCAGGAGAAAACATATGTGTTTATATGGTGTATGCGATAAACAAATGTGTGAAAATAGTACGAGCGTTAAAAGAAATGGACCGAGTTCTAGAATGCAACTTGAAGAACAAAATAATGTTCATAAGAAAGCTAAATTAGAAACATCTCCGACTTTGCTTGTAAGTATATTTTGCAATGAATTTTTTTGAAATGTGTATTGAATGCTTCTATTAGCTAAGTAGTTGCAGTGTCCTAAATGTTCATGAGTTATTTAATATAGTGTGTTACCGTTGATATTTTAAGTTAACTGCAAATTAAATACATTTTACTACTGTAAATGGGACTTTTGTCGGTAGTAAGTGTTGTAAACGTTTTATAATAATATATTTTAAATTAAATATAGATATATAAGCGAGCACAGTTTTGAATAATTTATTTGATTTGAGTTTTATGTTTTTTTGTATTGTTTTTAGTATTGTTACTAATTTTCAGTTTTGGGTATTTAAGATGATTAATTTAAGATATTATTAATTCTGTAAAATGATTGTTAAAAAAACCCGAGTATTCTTTTCTAAGAAAGTGTAAATGTTTCGTTCTACAAATAATGCGGCTTGATGAAAACAGTTCATTTTTTTTCATTTTAATTCGTAAGAAAGTAATAAACTTATGTTGTTTGTTTTGTTAACAATGCTGAGATTTTTGCATGAACTAAACAGTTACAAAATTAATTTTCGTAAAAGTAAATTGTAAATTCACTGAAATACCCATATTTAGTAAACTGTAAATTTACTAAAATAAATTAGACCTTAAAACATAAATGATGATGAACATTAATGGTTTTCGAAAAATGTAAAAGTAAATGGAAAAGAATACCGTTTAAGAATAGTGAAAATGTATTACAGAGAAACGACTTTCTAAAAAGTTGTCTGTGTCTAACATCGTCGTTTAATCCTCTAATCGTTTAATCATAATCGTTTAATCTTAAATTTAGATATACGCAGTAATATATCCTTTTGCTTTAAATTCATCATTTCCTACTATCATTCCTAATTATTAGGAAACCGTGCTGCTAGCTGCCCTATGATTATTTTCAGTATTACTATTCGAAATTAATTTATTCTCGTCGTCGGAATAGCTTCAAAATCATTTTTAGCCCTAATATGCACAGTTAAAGTTGTCTCTTGCGCAAGTCATTATCACTGAGCATTATGTTCGTGCATTATGATCTTTAAAACATTATATGCCCCTGAATTACCGAAATCGAATTCGGAACTTAATTCGCTTATTGAAATCCGAAATGTTGATAATCGTGGCAATTGAATTTTTCCGCAACATTTTAAACAATATTTTTAAAATACAAAATGATTTGAAAAATTGGTATTTCTGTTTAATTTAAAACTTGTGTTACTCTTCAGTTTAATGAATTGTTGTATATATATCAACCAATTAACACGGAAAGATATTTAGAAATGTTTCATTTCCTCAAGCAACGTTCTGTCCCATAAAGAGATCTATTCAGAGGAACACAAATGCGTTAATAAGTTATGTCTTAAGTAGTACAATAATCTGATTTCTAAAAGTTTATTTCTACCTAAGCAATTAATAATCTCATTCACGAACAAAGGAATCCATTAATTAGATTTTTAATATTTCGAGCACGAAACGATCATATCGTGACAGTCTACTATATCGTGACTATCTAAACGATCATATCGTGACAGTCATAAATTTATGTAGATAAATTTAGTAAGCATCTAAAATGCTTTTCAACCCGGAAGTTATGAAAAATCCAAATCATGTGTTGGACACAACTAAGAAAGGAAGAGATTTAAATTAATTTCGTAAAATTTTATTTTTCTTTGTCAATTTCCATTTACCTTTTCATAAATTCGAATAAGGAGTTAGTAGTAATAATTAAATATTTTGAGAATGTTATTTGATTGTTAAGGTTTAAATATCATTAAACTATTTGTTTCTCATTTAGATGTAATTATGATTACATTTGACTTCACAGAAAAGCTTGACAATATATTTTCGTTCACAATATTTACTAGTAGCTGTGTGCTAAGCGGCGTTTAAATTTGATAAAGCAAAAGTACTGCTCTATGCTTATTTTTTGATTGATTGCTCTTGTGTCATAAATTCTTCCTAAAACTTCGTCCTTCAGTAATTAGTGTTAAGCCATTAAGCATGAAAAGTAAAAGGCAGGAAGTTTCCTGTGCTAATCTAATCATTTGAATATACTTGCTGTGCCAAACTGATTGATTTTGGATTGATTGAATTTCGCAGAAAGCTGTAACGAAGGAGGCTGAGCCTGTTTTCGCCAGTGAAAACATGATCGATTTGAAGAACAAGTAAGCACTTTCCTGCTGCAATTTTGAGTAATTATGTATCGTACATTTTCCACGTTTCTTCTTTCTACTACAGTAGTTACACTTTAGTTTGTTCCTATCACATTACACCTTCCACACATATGTAGGGGTAAGTTTTCTCATAATTTTAAGTCTTATGTTATATAAGGTTTTTATTTTCTTATGTTTTGAAAATACCTTTCAGATATCGCATTTGCGAGAATAGGCATTTCCATTTACCCATTTTAATTTCAATATTTAAAAATTTAATGCTTAACAAATTTAGTAGTATTTCTGATTTACGAAAGCACCGAAAGTACATTTCATTTACGAAGCAAAGAAGTACATTACATTTAAATCATTTCTAACGAATTTTCAGTGGAACTTTAATATAAATTTTTCGGTTATCTTTTCTCAGCAACACATTTGTTTTGTGGCTGAAACCACGTAAGCCAACTACGAGTCCCGCCCACTCATGAGAGTTCGAGTCTAGGTCGAAGTATCAGTATACAACAGTCTTAATCACTTGGCTATTGGAGGGGGCCTTGGGCACTAAGGAGTTCTGAGGGTTCGTTCTAGAGTTCTTGACTGGAAGAAAGACAGGTTAAAGTGGTCAATAAGTTCATGCTTTAAAAAACTGGTTGCTTAAACACTTCTAAAACACTTAAATATTCAGATAAATATTAACAATCGACCATCTTCACAAGAATTATACCGAAATTATATCAGTCGACCGTTTCTAAAGATTGAATCAAGTATCATTCATTTCTATTTTTATATTCTAAGAAATCAAAACTTTTAAATTATCAGAAAAAAAGAGACCACAGATCTGTGAGTGGAGTGGTATCTAGAAAAACAAGTAACATGGAATTTCAACACAACCGTGTTCTCACGAGTCCTTGCTTGACCTTTATTCTCGAAACCATTGGCTAATATAAATGTACTCCCAAATGTAAATACCTTTTAAATGACAAAACAAAATCGTATTTTTGCATTTTTAAAATTTTAAAGCGTAGACTTTGTAAATATTACGAAATCCAACTTTTATACTTTCCTCTGGTCCCTACACTTATATTTAGGAACATTTTATAGTCTTTTTACTACCATACGAGTAAAATTAACCAAGATATTAAATTTCCAAATTTGAGGTTTCTAATGTCTTGTTATATTTGCATTGAGAAGTCGGCTAGTAAATAATTTAGAATAAATCGAGATTTATTTATTTTATTAACCCTTAAATGTCATTCACTGATATTGTTTTCTGATATACTACTCTGTCTTTATCATTTATTAAATATATAGTATGCCGAAAGAAGTTCCTACAAATAATTTGTGTGCTATTATATTCTCGTTAAGTTTTATTACTTTAGAATCATAATCTGGGAATCGTTTAAAATACAAATATTTTTAATAATTGCAAATGATATTAAGAATTGGCAAACGAGACGTACTGAAGCCTGCCAGATTTTTCTAGATCACAAATTCTGTAAGGTTCTGTGAATAAGATCTTCATTTTGGAAAATTATATTGATCAATATCTATCAGAATAATCACCATAGTAATACTTGCCACGTAATCTCTTAATGCTTTTATAAACGATACTTTATTTTTACTTAACTACAAATGCAAACGTTTCGCTCTTCAGTTTATGTACGTGCATTTAATACGATTCTTGATTTTAATATCAAATATCTCAATTTTTGTCGTACGGATATCGGAATTTTTTGAGTTATTTTTATAAAAAGGAAAGTCAATTTCTAAACAAAAGTATATGGACCAGAGAATCGTGTAAGAATTTTAATTTTATATTTTCTATCTTTTTTAAATTAAAAAAATATAAAGACAAGAATGTTTTGGGTCATTTAAAACATTTTTATAACAAAGTATTTGTCTATGATCAGTTTTTGCGAAAATAAAGGAACTATGGATACGTTATATATCATTTTTGTGAGCTGTAGTAGAAATCTGTGCTTGCTTTCTACGTTTATTTTTAAAAATGCTTTGAGAAATTGTGAATTGTAAACATTCCGTTTTCGTATTGCACGCTAAGTTTTTTAATTAAAAATCTGCTGTAGACCCATAATTATCTAAAACATGCCATGTGATTTAATTGCGTGTCTACAGATCACATTTAAAAGACATCGAATGCATAAGTGCATTAATGCACAATTGGAAGGATCATATGCTTAGAGTAAGCGGAAAAGCACACGGGATCATTTTCAGGCTTTTCCCTCTCCTAAAGAATGAAAACCTCACCCTCAGACTGAAAAAGAGGATTTATGAAACTCTAATCCGACCCATTCTCACGTATGCTTCCCCAGCCTGGGCAAACTACAAAGCAAACGAAATTAGCAAACTCAGTGCTTCAAAATAAGGTGCTAAGAATCATCACAAAAGCTCCTTATTATGTTCGGAATAGGACTCTCCACTCCAACGTGAAAATAGATACTATTCAGGACTACCTCAGCAGAATAAACAACAACTTTTTTAATAATATTATCAATGTGAATCCTGGTAATTTCACGGACATTCTTATCTACGAAATCCTGGCTGAAGACAAAAACCTCCGCCCATTGCCCACCTCTTGAGTTCAGAATTATAAGTTCCAGTTTTCTGGCTTTTCTCCGACGAATGAACAGTTAGTATTCGGGCTATCCTACACAGGTCATGCGAAGTTTCTTTCTCCGGCCCCTGCTTGGCGATTCCATCCAAGATGTAGCAGTACAGGAGCAAAGTGCTTCTTTTTCTCTCTCCAGCACACTTCTACCTCCACGAGAGAAAATTTCTTTCAGGTTTCTACTCTGTCAGGCCCCACATGGGATCACATCAGGAACTGGCAAGAGCAGGACTTTAATTTCCTGCTGAAAGCCAGTATAATCGCAAAGTTCCAAAGTGCATTAATGCAAAATAACCCTCGAAAACAGGATACTGAGCCAAAAATTGGTTAGAAAGTTATGGCTTATGCCTTCATTGAATTTTACACACACATTATATTTGTCTTTTCTTGAGCTGTGGATAAGTAAGCTATAGCATTTATGTATGCAAGTACAAATTATATATTTTACAGTTTTGTAACACTCAGATAATTTATTATTTTTGCGAATGAATTTTATTTTAGCGCTGGATGAGTATATACTGACAATTTTAAAAATTCACAGTACATTTCAGGCAGTAACATATAAACTAGCTGGACTTTTAGAATTATTGCTCAGGTACTAGATTTTAGTACTGATACAATAAAAGAGCAGTCAGATTGTTTGGGTAATTATTTCGTTTATAAAAGCCGAAATTACGATTTTCTTATTGAGCTGCAACATTATTTGTGAGGTAGAAAAATGTGTACATAGTTAAAACTTTGTTTTCTTTATGTCATTAATGATAAAATCAAACTAAATTTTCTCTCTTGCAAATTTCTTACCAGCTAAATTGTTTTAAAATAGAAAATAGCTTTTTAGACATATTTTCAAGCTTTCCCAGGTTATAAATAGAATTGAACTACAATTTGTACTTAAAATGCTCTTCAAAAGCATTAAAGACAACAACACGGCTATAGCATACTGTATTCAAAAATAATTTACTCTGACACTTTTTTTTTTTTTTTTTTTTTCAGAATAAAAGTAACGGAAATTTAAACTTTGGAAAAACTGCTGCTTAATTTTCTTTCTTGCTGATATTCCTCTAATAAGCGTTATTAAATATCGCTACCTATAAGGGAAATTACGTTAAGTTACAGGTAAATACACGGCAAACAATCATAGATACGTTAAATGAAAATACAGCCGCTTATGACCAGATGGCTCATTGTTATCTATAGTTTGAATCTTTTCTGTAAAGGATAATAGGTGCCAAATATTCTACAGAAGGATATATACGCCAATGTTGCCTATTCACCATTATTACGTAAATTCTGTTTTTATTTAACGATAAGTTCTTTATGGTATTTGTAATAGCCTGATATTCGATGACGCATCAAAAATACGGAACCTGTTATTTTGATTTCTTTAAATGTTCTACAGATTTAAAAACTGTTCCTTATTCTTTTAAAGTCATTTTTATTTACGTTTTTAATATTTTTCTTTCCCCAACATTAGCCAGATGGCCAAGACCACTAAATAATTTAATTTCGAACCCCGGGTAATGTGCTGGCTACATTGGTGTTTTTGTAATTGCCTTATATGCAATGTAGATATGAGCAGTTTATCGTATGAGGTCCTCCTGGAAGGCATTCCTTTTCTTGGAGATCCTTCAGGAAGTCTCTTGTGCTTTGGCAAATACAGATAACCTAATATGTCTTTCAAGTAGTGTAAGGATGGTTTCTTTTTTCTACTTCAACAACCACTTTACACAAAGTACAGCAAAGGCATATATACTGTACGTATTTTATTAGAATATAATACGTTCGTTTCAGGGAATTCTCAGCAACGTTTGATGATTTCGTGTTAATTTGTGCTGCACTTAGCCCCCTGAGGTTGTGAGACGTGCAAGGAAATAAAGCAGAAACAATTCAATACTTTTAAATATGTGTTAGTTTAACAAAATATTTGCAAGAATTCCATTTGCTATATATGATGGAAGATATACAAGGGAAGTGCAAACCCAACAACATAGGATTAAATGTTAGAATTGTAATTGTGATATTATTTGCCTTTTTATTTAAGGGTTCTTGTGGAAATAGACACAAGTGACACTGATTCTGTATGCTATTCTCAGACAGTAACTTCTGGAGATATTTAAAGTTTCATCAATTTGCTGGCAGTGAAAATATGTTATCAGCCAAACGATGATGTTTTATTGGCGGTGTCTTTGGCAGCTATCAGTTAACCCCCAAATTCCTGCATTTGCCTATAAAATAAATATTGTCAAAAGGCTTTTAAAATGTTTGATTTTATTTTGTTCTTTGAAATAAATTAGTATATATCTAGCATATGCGTAGATTTATTACAGGTTAGGTCAAGTTGAAGAACAGTGGACACCCAATATTTAAAAACAGGTAATATGTGTAAAGTACTACTGCACTATTTATTTAGGTAGAAACAAAGTGGGAAGGCCCACAAGGGATCCGCCAAGTCTCTTGCGTAATGTTTTGCGGTTGGTGCCTTTCGGATTTAAAACGGTACTTACGGAAAATCGCATCGACCATTTTTGCCTATTATTAAAGAAAAGACCCCAAACTACGCGATCTTTCTCCAAAAGTGGAGAAGTCTTCTTCAAGCATGCTGTTTTTTTTTTTTTTTTTTTTTTTTCCATTACACTTGCTACATGTAATCAAGGCCATAATTTTCACGAAAATGAAGATATTGGTGATTTCACGAGCTGAAAATTTCCCAAAATTCGGTGAGTAAAAGGTTTCTGATATTTTATTATTATTTGAGGCGATAAAAAGTATTTCGCGAGACTTGTATTTTCTCGCGAAAATAATTGCTTTTATAGTGTATCTCCTTAATAAAAATAATGTAAAATTTTAATGAAAAATTCAATATAAATAAATGGTAATATAATAAATTTGAAAGAAAAATAAGAATATAACTCTTTTCCCTTGTATTTAGTTTTTTTTTGTTTGTTTGTTTGGAGCCGATTGGCGCCATTTCTTGTGGTCGACGAGATTTTAAGTACCCTTAAAACTTACTTACAGTTCCCGATATTCATGTGAATAAAATGCTTTTGTTACAAAATATTTGGAGATTATATCCATTATTTACTAATTCATTTAAAGGTTTATTAAGGGAAAAGTTTTTGTAAGCTTCATGGAATACAAATATCTCGGTAATAGTGAGTAAATAGGACTTTAGTGTTATTTAGAGCCGGGATTTAACTAATACGAAAATTCGCAAATAAATTCGATTAATGTTACCTAATATTTAAGAATACTCTTGAATAAGAAATTACGTAATTACAATTTGATGAAGAGGCTGTATATTGAAAATATGAATGTAAAGGAAAATTACTGTATCATAAATTGCAGAAAGGTGTAATTTAGACTTTAGTACCTGATTTTTATATCCCCACCAGTGGTCGAACTATTAAGATCGCTGAATACAGGTAGTTCGATTAGCAATCGGATCCAGGCGAGCAGGTAGAGTTGTTATATGGCTGGTTTAAGTCGTCTACCTAAATTTAATCTGAATACGAGTCTGTTTTCTTTACAAATTTTCTCGAAATTTTCAACGCTAAGGTATTCGCGATGGTAATGCAATATTCTGCAAGAATTTTACTTTCAAAAATTTGTTTGATATTTATTTAGAATTACATTTTTTCACATGCTTCCTTAATTAATAATTGTAAAATTCCGATCATCGAAAGATTTAAAAATAACATTTTATTTTATGTGTTGGAAAATTTCTTTTTGCGCCAGAGAACTCAAATACTATCTCGGAGTTTTCTCATTCTTCATTTTCTTATTTCGTCATTCCTTAAAATTAATATTAGCAATGACGGATTAAAACATTTTTAGAGGAAAAAACCCATCACTTTTGGCAACAAATTGCAGGAAACAGAATGGAAAGATTTCTGAAATACCGTAAAAATTTGTTAAATGCATGCCAGGTGGCTCAAATATGATCGGGACTGAATTCTTTCACCAAAACCTTCTTTGTAAATGAAAGGAGTGTGAAATATGTTGCCTTTCAAGATACTTCCCGCCAGAGTTGGTATATTTTGCCAAAATTCTGGAAACATTTTCGTCATCTTTTCCTAGTAGTGATACGGTTGGTATATTTCATAGTAGTCCGTAGCTCAGTTTTTCAGTGAATTCACTCCTGAACGCTGACAGTCATTGCATCTTTATTCTCAAACTGCATGCCATCCCAAGTGAGATTTAAGCCTGGACATGGGAACTCAACTAGTGAACTCGTGTTTCATTGATAGTCACTATGGACGTCTAAAATGTACTCAATTCATTCTTATACCGTCGTAAGAGAGATGCATGTGCTTCACTTTGTTCTTGTCTGTCCCTTTGGAATCCACCGAGCGAAAATCTTGCAATAGTGAAAATAATTTTCCTCGATGGTTTCTACACTAACGGATCTCGCTGAAAACATCTAAAAAAGTTCTTTAATAGCGATGTGCCTATCCATACAAATAAACTCATTCACACGATCAGTATTTGTCGCAGTTCGTTTCATCCACTCGCTCTCCTTCTTTACTGATGCCCTTATTTCACTCAAACACATGGTCATAAGAAGACACATTTTTCTGCACTCATGCTTGGAGTCTGCCAAATTTCAGATGTCAGTATATTCTCTTGAACGATAAGTTTGTGTGTTCTGTGGCGATGTGTTGTTCCATGATCCAAGTCAACCTTTGCTCGCTCATGACTCTCGCAACTGCAAAGACACGACTGAACAAATTCTAGTCTCCGCGGAAGGTAAGGTGGGAATTCTTACTATACCCACATAAAGAAATGCAGTGCTGTGCATGGATAGTAGTTTGTAACAACAATGTTCGATACCAGTGGACACCCATTATTTAAAAACAGGTAATATGTGTAAAGTACTACTGCACTATTTATTTAGGTAGAAACAAAGTGGAAACGCCCACAATGGATCCGCCATGTCTCTTGCATAATGTTTTGCGGCTGGTGCCTTTTGCACTTAAAACGGTACTTTCGGAAAATCGCATCGACCATTTTTGCCTATTATTAAAGAAAAGACCCCAAACTACGCGATCTTTCTCCAAAAGTGGAGAAGTCTTCTTCAAACGTGCTTTTTTTTTTTTTTTTTTTTTTTTTTTTTTTTTTTTTTTTTTTCTTTACGCGTGCTACGTGTAATCAAGGCCATAATTTTCGCGTCTCAATAAATAGTCTCCGAGATAGTATTTGAGTTCTCTGGCGCAAAAGGAAATTTTCCAACACATAAAATAAAATGTTATTTTTAAATCTTTAGATGATTGGAATTTTACAATTATTAATTAAGGAAGCATGTGAAAAAATGTAATTCTAAATAAATATCAAACACATTTTTGAAAGTAAAATTCTTGCAGAATATTGCATTACCATCGCGAATACCTCAGCGTTGAAAATTTCGAGAAAATTTGTTCTATAAAACTGGGAGCAAAAGTTAATTTGTTCCATAAAAATGGGAGTAAAAAGTTATCGTCCGGATTTGCTCTAAAACCGAGAACCAATTATGTAAATCTTGTAAAAATGCATTGTCCGCAGATTTGAATAATTAGAAAATTTATTTTTATATACTTCAATATTTTATGTACGATTAACGTAATTCTTTTGAAAAGGTGCGTGAGTTTGACAATTGAAGATTTTGAAATAGCCCGGCGTCTAGGGCAGGGAAAATGTGGAAACGTCTACTTAGCCCGCGAGAAAAGGAGTCACTTTATAGTAGCTTTGAAAGTAAGTACTAATGATTTCTCTTAAGTAATTTTAGGTGATCATTGCTAAAATTTAAAGAATTTAATTCACGATTATGAAATTATATTTTGATGGAGCTTTGAGCTGCATCTGTAAAGCCTAAATGCAATTGTTTCTCACAAAAGGCACCATAGCAATTGTTTTCCACAGATGTTTCATACTATAGTAAAGGCAAAAGCAACTTCATTGGAAAAAATATTAAGTATTGCAAGAGATCTTAAAAGTAATAACTTTAAAATCTGAAACAATTCCATTTAGGAATTTAAAAGAAAACTAAATTGTACTTTTAACTTATGCGTAACATGAATGGATTCAAGGATTTTAAAAGAAATTGGGAATATCGAAGGTAAAAGACAGTTGTTAATGATATGAGAATTTTGCAAACAAAATATCAATATTTCTGACAAATTACTAATAAATATAAAAAAAATAAAAAACTTGCATCAATCAGTTCTGTATGATCTAGAAAAGTTGGTAGTTACATGTTAACGAAGAAAAGCCAAATTCGATAAAAAAGCGAAAAGTTGTCAGATTTAGCTCCGTAAATAAATTAATCGCTATTGCAAACTTATGGCTTCGTCAAGTTTTAAGAACACCTATAAATCGCAATTTTGTTTTGGGGGAGGGAGTTTATGATTTGATCATGGGTCTAAGAAATTTACCAAAAAGGGATGCTATTAGTTCCTTATTACAGGAGTATATAATACATTGTCGAGTAATCATGAATGTTCAATTTACACGTTCAGGATTCGCATGCTGGAGTTCATAAGGAAAATAACGAGCAGAAATGAGGTTCTTCAAAACTGTGAACAAGAGAAATAGGGGGTAACGTAAGACTTCGTTTGAAAACGTGCTTAGCAAAGTTCATGTGGCGGCAGAATGTTGCAGTTTAAGGTTGGGAAAAAAATTCGAAACTGTTTTAGAAACAATGGCTAAGCATTTTCCCCCTGAAATAAACAGTTTGTATCCAATTAGCCACTTAAGTTAGCAAATCCTTTTCTGTTAACATCTGAGTACTGAAGATTCATAAAGAATACGTATATAGTGAACCGCAAAATCGTTCGATGAAACCCAACTGATTTCCGATAAGTCTACTTTTGCTTTCATGAGCAACACCCAAAATTAACTGAAATTATTTCATTTGCTTCTTGCATTTTGAAAAAAAAAGTAAAAAATAAAATTTGGGGCATGCTTTCTGCAGATCAGGGAGCAAAGAATTAGTATTAAAGTTCTGTGATCCTACCTTTAAAAACGTGTGCAGTAATGAACACTATATGGTCAATTAATATGGCTTACAAAACAATAATAGACTGGAATCACAATCTGCGAGAACTTTGTACACATAGCGCTCTAAACTACGATTTCAACTAAATCGGAGGTTCTAACAAAATAGTAGAAATTGGCAAAAGTCACTACATGAAGCTCAAAACGAATGGAGTCGAATATTAATTGTTTTCTTAAATAAAGAGGCATCGGTTTCTTAGGAATTCCGCTAAAATGATTGATGCAACTTTTGCAGGATCTTTATCAATATTCATGGTTCTATTATAGTCAAAGTCTACAGCCGATGGGATATACTGAAGTGATGAAATAAAAATTTCGGTACTTTCTGATTATCCACTCCCCTTGAAAAGTATTTAAATATCGTGCTTTGTTGCCAAAATTTGAAATCGTACTCCAAATGTATAACTGAAGGTATGCGAGCGCGTAAGAGACGAGAACGGATTTCTATTATCAAATTCGAAGGTCATTAGCGTTTGCTTATGTCGCAATTTTTTTGTTGTTGTTGTGGGGAATCGTAATGTGTCTGAGATTTGCTGGTTGATGAATGAGGAAGCGTGGCAATTCTTTAGAAATATGGCGTTTTACCAAAGAGTAGAAAGTGCCAAGATTCGAATTCCATAAAATTGTACGTTGTAAGCGATCGATTAGTTTATCTTAATTATGGAAAAGCTCTTAAAGGCTATCTTCCAAAGGAAAAATATGTCTTAATGGACGAATTTCTAAGTGAAATTGCCTCATATCAACATTACACATGGGAAAAACCGCTGTGATTCCCATGCAGCCATCCCATTTACCGGTCCGGGCCGTCCCGTGTTCAGCGACTTTACAAGTCGGCAGTTGGGGGGACTGTTCGTAAGCGAACGAATTTTTTGAATCACAATTTGTGTTAAAAGCTGAGTTTGTGTAATTGCGTAATGTTTTCTAAGTGAAACTACGTGGCTGTATACATGAGAAGAGCAAAAGTGTAAAGAAAAAATGCATAAGAATGTTTGTCTTCAAAATTTAAAACTAATTATGAAAATATTTAAAAATATAATCGGTTTTTTCCACTTGAATTTCAATTCTTTCCATTTACACAATATGAAATAATTTTCCAACTAGAAGCATTATTAGGATCATTAACACCAAGTCGGGCCAAATTCCCTGACTGCTTCTTTGAGCTGCCTTTCCAACTAGAAACAATTAAGATTCAGAAATTATAATTTAGAAATAATATTTAATGATCCAGGATAGGTATAATTTAAAACACAGTATAAGGGATACTTCGCCGAGGGAAAAAGTGGTAATCACATTTGGTTCCGTATTCCTACTGTATTTTCTTTTCGAAGCCTCCTGCATTCAAATTAGTGTTTTACAAGTAAAGTAATTGTAGGTATTATGTGTAACGCGATTCATAACAAAGTTTATTTCATATGTGTAGGAAAAGCGATTTTCGCCTAATTCAATTTTGAACTAACTTTTAAACGTATTTTGATTACAAAATTTTGAAGAAAGAGAGCCATTAAATAATGTTTTATTTTAAAACTGTTTTCGCAAGGGCAGATAGAAGATTGACAGTTACTAATTACCTAAAATACATTATATGATGCGCTACCATCAGAGCTTTCACTCGGAAACTAAGACAAACTCAGGTTTAACTCGGTTTTATTTATATTTTATTTGTTAGGTCAAATTTCTGCAAAGTTTCTCTAATTTTATTTTAAATCCTATAAAGTAAATTTTGTAAATATTTAAAAAAATCTTTACATTTCAGGTCATGTATAAGTCGGAAGTCGAAAGATTAGGTATCGAACATCAAGTAATAAGGGAATGCAAAGTCCATTCTCAGCTAAGGTGAGTAAATTTTAAATGCAGGATAAAATTCTTATTGAGATGATTAAAAAAATTAATTAAATAACGCTTTCCAGAATTTAAAGTTTATAAGTTTTTCATTATTACAGTACAGAGTAAATCAATAGAGATCTCAAACTGAATGGTCGCCGAGTATTGGATTTGTAAGTGGCTGATGGACAACAAATGTTTTTAACAAAATTTAAAAACATTAACAAAGCAAAACGAAATGAAATAAAATCAAAAAAAAAAAAAACGAAATGAAATAAAATAACAAAGCAAAACGAAATGAAATAAAAAAAAAATTACTTATTCCTATTTATAAAAATCCACAAACAGTAACAAAAGGAAAAATCGAATGTATATTTACTTTCCCTCTGCAATTGGAACATGAGAGACATTTCTATTGATTACATCTTTGTAATTGAAGAGTACTGACATTAAAAAATGCTAAATTTTAGATTGACATTTATTTTAGGTAATTCTCGAGAGATGTTTGAAAATATTTCAGAGATGTCTCCTGCAGGTTTGATTGTTAATACTTATCAGGAGAGAAGCAGATGTAAGGCTCTCTAACTATTCTCCCTACCATCAATCTCCCGAGAGGACTTTCGGTTCTCTAATACTTTTAAGTGCCCTTATCCTGCACAGACACTATAAACCTAAAACCATCCAAACATTCTCAGTGATTCTGGTTCGAGATTTTGACAATACAGCAGCCAGGAGCACTAACCAATGTATCAAAAAGGACGGCAGACTTAATACTATATAATGCATTAATAATCATATAAACAATTTGTTCCCGTATTTTGTGGTAAATCTTATAAGAAAATGGATTCAGCACAAATACTTATTATTAGACAACATACTAACACAGTATATTCTGCTGAAAGTTAGTTTAAAAATTAGATGCTTTCTAACTAGATGGTTTCCCATGAAAAGTCATTTTGGCCACTTTATGTATTTTCGAAAAACGTTTCTCTTTTTATAACTTATAGGTATTTGTCCGTTCTTAGCTAATAATAAAAAGGAGCATTTTATTAAGAAATAATAAATGAGGCTCTTTTTAATTCAGTTTCTGACCCGCATTTCTAACACTGCCTGGATTTTGCACAAAATTCGCTTTCACTCAAACACTTGTATGATACAAGCATACGAGGGCTGGCTGCTGTCACGTTTGCGTTTGAAAACATGGAAGGCTTGCGGAAATCCTATCGAATATTAAAACCAGGTATATAAATGAAAGTGCAAAAAATTATTTTTATTTCATTTAGTGTAAATCCTTTATTAGAAGTATAGCGTAACAGGCCCATCAGCGGCCGAGAGGTAAAGTCGCTGAACACTGGTAGTTCGGTTTGAGGTTCGAAACCCGCAAACGGGCTGGCTGCATAGGTGTTTTTGTGGTTTTCCCCATGTGTAACGTGTATACGAGCCAGTTTCCCTTAGAAAGTCCTCCTCGAAGGCATCCCTCCCCTTAGGCAGATTGCCATCGAGGCTTTGCCGTAATTGAATAACATAACCTTACCGTATAACGTAATATATGCAATTTTATGCATCTAAAAACAAATTACAGTATTTCATACCGTTAATCCTTAATTCAAAATATAGCCAAATATAGAGAAGCAACATATATGCAGAAATTTTTGAAAATATTGGAAATGCAAAATACTGTAAAACTTTAAGTGTCATCCTTCAGCAAAATGTTTCATATTTGGAGAAAGAAAAGGAATTTGTCTTTGATGAGTTTACTTTTCTTTAGTCACATGCTCCTTTGCAATTGCTTTCGAAATTCTAAATTATTTTCCTTTGAATAGCCTACCAGTGGCCGAGTGGTAAAGGTAGCTGAACATGGTAGTTTGGACCTGGGTTCGATTTCGCGTGAACGAACTAGCTGCATGAGCATTTTTTCCTCATGTATAACGCGTATACCAGCCTTAGAAAGTACCCCCCTACAAAGACATCCCTCCTCTTAGGCAGAAAATTCTAATGTCATGATCAATTAAACGCAACTTTCCTTTTGAATAAGTGATAATAATAGTTAACGTAAATAATTAGGTAACTGTTTAACATCGGATCTCTGCTTTTAATATTGAAATAGTGAAACAAACCAGTAAAAGCAACCATATTCTTATTAAATGATGAAATAAAAAACACTAAGAGAAGCAACATATAATAATATATTTCTAAAATTTACCTTTCTAATATATTTTCAAAAACATTTAAAATACGAAAGTTTATATTAGCAACCGATAATTATTGTTTGATCCTGGTATACGTAGATGCTTGACTAAAAATCTGATATAAACACAATTTTCACCTTTGAATATTTTATTAAGATCTGTGATATTATTTTAATTGTAGTAAAATTTGTTCCAGTGTTTACCATTTCAAATTATGCAATATTAATCTTTCTTTCACTTAGGCACCCTAATATTTTGCGCCTGTATGGATACTTCTCTGATCAAAGTAGAATATACATAGTTCTGGAATATGCTTCAGAAGGAAATCTTTTCACGAAATTGCAGAAATATAAACGCTTTGATGAAAATACTACAGCTACAGTAAGTTCTTGTTAAAGCTGACTTCGATTAAAATTCCTCCTTGTAGAATAAGAACACAATGAGTGATTGAATTTTTCATCGATTAGCTTAGCCTCCTAAGTAAACCAGCACGGAGAATAATAGCAGTGTAAGTAATTTAATTCGCCATGCTTATCAACCACAGGTTACATGAAGTTATTACAAATTTTAAATTTTTCCCGTACATGTAATGAATTTTTCTCTTTCAAACTCCTCCCATGGAAATGACTTTATCTGATCTTTGCATAAACAATGAATTTTGAACTCATCAAATTTGATTTATACAATGAAATATTTTGACTTTGAAATTTGATGTTTTGTTTGTTAAAAAAACTGAAATTTTCTCAGGTAGTACAAGTTATTAACTGTTACAACACAATTATTAAATAATTTTCTACAGACAGCTGTATGTACCAATATTTGTTATAGGCCATTGCTAATTTTTTTTTCCTTTGAGAACATACAGACTACCCGTGCACCACATATGTACAACACGGGGCTTACAGAAGTAAGTTAACTAGAACATTAAAGGTTACATGTATAATAAACATTAAAATTACATGCATAATAAAGCGAACAAAGCAGAGAACAGCAGTCTGGACTTCACAAAAACGATAAGTTCACTGGCCAAGTCGCTCGAACATTTTCAAATCGTTCTGTAGCATAATCTAGGGCCATCAAATGTAGACACGAGAAAATCAAATGTTCCACATCCTGAGGAACTCTTTTTGACATTCACATAAATTGTTTGATCGTAGATTAAAACGAAACTGATAACTTGCAAATTTACCGGACCAGACAAAACTGTGACACTTAAATTTAACGAAGGAGACTCTGATTCAGTCTATGGTATAGAAGGAAGGAAGTTTTGGTGCCTTCCGCATTACAAGATGAAATGTATTCCTCTTCCACATAGCTAAAAGCTTTTTATAATGAAAGGACTTCCAATAACTCTTTGGAATGCTAATGTTGATATCATGGGTAAATTAAGGCATCTAGCTAAGAAATCAGCTCTTTCATACCGTAGAAAACCATGATGAGCACCACATAAGCAAAGCGATATCAATACCTCTAATTCTAAGTGAACTAACAGTTACTAGGGTTTCGATAACTAATTTATCGCGCTGGTAATACTGTTCAAGTTGAAGAGAAGAAGAGAATCAGAAAAATAAGGTACTTTGAGGATGCTGTCCCATGATCCGGTCCACTTGACGGCAAGATAAATGCACAGAATTCTGCTTGAAAACTGTACATTCATTCCGTATACGTGTCTAAAGAAAACAAATCTCGGATTGCCTTCAAAAAGAACAAATGCAAGGCCAACCTTGTTGTTCATCTTGCTGCCATCTGTAAAGAAAACCATATGAAAATTATTCAGCAGTCTCTTTATATCGCAGAAATTTATGGTTCTAAAGAAGCGGGATGAGGAAGATCAGTGAAGGGACAATTCCATTAATACAGTCTTCCGAAGCATGAGTTGCCAATGACTCAAAAATATTATTCTTATATGCAATTTCAAAATCAATAGGCGAACTCCTGCAAGAACAAAGTAGCCTCATAGCTTAGGTTCAAAAACCACTAATAATACGAAGAAGAATTCTCCGTTGAATCTTTCTTAAATTTTTTGTTACCCTTCTTGGCAGAAGTCCCCAGCACGACAGCCGTACGAAATGAAAGGTACAGTACACTGCTTATACATGAGTTATTAACATCGTAGCTTACTCCAAAGTATTTTTGGCAATTCGGTGAAAGCCATTAATATTTTTCACATTTAGCAGAAAGATTCAATGTGTTTTCCATGTTAATTTTTGGTCAAGAATGACACCAAGATATTTGACATTTTCTACAAATTCCAACGGAGAATTATCGAGCATCAAAGAAGCAATATTTTGTTCATCAAACGTACTGGGAACAAGCATAACTTTACTTTTTGAAGGATTGAAAGTGAGTTTATGAGAAATCGCCCAACTGGAGACAAAATCTAGAACTTCTTGTGCTCTCAAAAGAATGTTATTCAAAATCCTTCCTTGGAAAATTAATAGTAAGTCGTCTGCAAACACAATTTTTAAACAACCGTTGAGGTGACTTAAAAGATCATTTATGATTTTGTTCCAAAGAGTAGGTCCGGATACAGAGCCTTGAGGACAGCCTTCTTCTAGAGAATAAACCTTTGCTTCGTTCCCAAGCTGAAGCTCAGCAGTCCTCTCGTTCAAGAAGCTTTTAATAAGCCATTAAAAGCTTCTTGAACGAGAGAACGAGAGGCCTTTTAATAAGCCATTGCTAAATTGTCATGGAAATTTCTAAAACTTTTTTTTTTGTTTTTTTGTTGTCAAAGTTAGTGCTCCATCCTTATCGAAGTTATTGTCTTATTTGCATATAATTTTCTACAGGCAGCTGTATGTACCAATATTTGTTAAATTGTTAAGGAAATTTCTAAAACATTTTTGTTGTCAAAGCTAGTGCTCCATCCTTATCCTTAAGTTATTGTCCTACTTGCATATAATCGACATGATTGCTTATTTTTAAGAAACAATGTTTTTCTTGCTCTCTTACTAATTTAAAAGCTTAAGTATAATCTATTAAATGCGATCTAACTATGAATATAATAAACATATATTTTTGTTACGTGTGTATATAGCATGTTATTTAATTTTTTGAATTATTTATTGTTTCATGGGCCGAATCGATGGAGTTTCTGGCACAAGTAATGAATTCCGGGAGCGTGTTTTGAGATCTAAGCACCGACATTTTCGCATGTTTGGGTCCTTACTATATCTTAGAAATTGTTTTGGCCGATACATCAGGCTTCTTGCTGATGTATCGGGCAAAACATCGCTAAATTTTAGTTTCTCACCTTTAGAATCGAATTTTTTCTTTAGGCCTTAAATTACCTTTCTTCTCTATTGTTACCTTCTCTATGGCCTTTCTTCTGTATTGCTATGTTGCTTAAATTGCCTTTCTTCTCCATTCTATGGTTCTGTAAAAGAATGAAAATTATATCGGCATATAGTATTAAAATTCACTTTTATAGCAGAAGGTAACGTATTCAAGACTCCTCATTTATCTCCTTAATCCGATGGAAATGCATAAATCGGGCCGTCGGGATTACTCATAAGAATCAGTACGCCTGTTGTTACTGATATATAGACAAACCGCCCTATAAATCTGAATTTCCCATGATTTTATGTTTTTCTGCATATATGTAAATTCATAACTATTTCGATCCTTTGATTAATTGAAGGAGTTAATGAAATTAAGTTAGTGGAATTTAATAACTTTTATGAAAGTTAATGAAAAGACTAACAAAAATACTTGTTCGGTTCGCCATGGACGTGAAAACAAATTGTTGAAAATTATGAAGGTGATATCCGTACCAGAGACTTGCCTGTTGCGTACTTTATGTCGAGTATGACACTAAAGATAAGTGATATATGAATGAGCTGCATTTCTCCTAACCGATATTCATCGGCAGTGTGGTTAACTGAACACGGCCAAGAAACACACAAAAAACTGTTTTCTACCTAACACAGTTCTAATCCATTAAATACAAATAATTATTTGATAGTTGTCTTTAAGAAGTAAAATGCAGAGGAGCTTTTCTATGAACTTAAACATAATTCTTTCTTCTTTCAACTTGCAATTAATATTAAAAAATATGAAAGCTTTCGGATTTTACAATACTCACAAAGTGCGTTTTTTTTTTTTTTCATTTGCCACAGGCAAAAAATTTCGAGAGCATTTAGCCTAACGCCCCTTTGCGCTAAAATATTTAAATGCAGCATAACTTTAGAGTTTTCTATAGACAGTCTCGCACATTCGAGATACAAATATTTTATTTCGCATAATGGGTTACCACTTCTTGCTTTGAAACCTTTAAATTTCTTAATCGAAAATCCATTAATGTTTTAAAAACATGAAATAGATAGTAACACAAATTCGAAACTCCCAATTCAGGCTTCTTGTGCCCATGTTTGGGTGAAGGGCAATGTTTTTCATTAGTTGAGAGATTCTAGGAACAAGTGGTTTTCCACAGTGCGAGAAACTTGCATACTATCATGCACACTATTGTTTAATTGCGTTAAATATAATACAGGTGATAGAGTTTGGTGGTAACAATTTGAAAAGTGATGTAGCCATTTATAGTGAATCGTCATAAAATGACGTTTTGAGATAAATAGTTCTTTGGGTTAAAAAAACTGAAAAAACAACTAATCATATTTAAAATCAAAAATCAAATATATACAGTCATAAGCATGAAATTAAAATTCCCAATTCTGTTATGGTTCCCTTTATACAACTCATGAACTCCTTTGCAAAATTAAATTCTTTCTAGTGACAATGAAATTCTTTTATGTTGATATGTGTTTCCCTAACATGTTGCAAAAATACGCAGTCTTTGACGAAATATCGTGTATTGCATTCAGCATTACAAAAATTACAAAGATTATTACTTTTTAAATTAAATATTTTCCTGTATGCCAGGAAGCGCCGGTGGCCTATAATTATTTGGTTGTAATGAATGTCGCATATCATTCTCATATTTTTAGAAATCTAAAATTCAAAAGATTACCTTTCTTTTTACGAAGTATTCAATTAGTCATTCCAGTAATCATAATAGAAATCTTTGATTTTACCAGTAACTGTTGTATCATAAATTATAATACGACGTTTAGCTTAAGAGAGCTTCTCCTGACGCATGCGCCGTTCGCGTTTATCCGCGCGGTGATGAATGATGACGTAACTGTTTATTACGTATGTATGTATATGTATACCATTCTTACTTCTTCGTCTTTTTTCTCTGCTGTACGCAACTATGTTTAATTTCTGTCATTAAAAATGTTCATTGATATTACAATCTATTTAGGCTCATTTATTTCTTCAATGGTTATGGGCCCAGGAACGTTTCAACTGTGCCTAATTAGCAAAATACTTATTTTAAAATGAACATTTTGAAGTTTTCGAGCATTGAACTCTTAAGCCTAATTCAGTGCAAAAACTGTTACGTCTAATCAACGGTAAGAACTGATCAACGTTCAGTTAAGCCTATTTTTATAGCGCTCAATCTTGTTTTTTGGCTGTGAGAGACTGTATTACATTATGTCGCATTTGACTACTATAGAAAAGCTCGGAAAAGATAATTTTGACAGTTGGAAATTACAAATAGAAGCAGTATTGATTAAAAACGACCATTGGGATTATGTAACCGGTAAAGTGCTAAAACCTGCTGAAGGAACCGAAGACGAAAAGAAATGGCTCCAAGCTGATCAAAAAGCTCGCGCAGATATAATTCTTGCTATTAATCCTAGTGAACTGTGTCATATAAAGCATTGTGTGACATCAAATGCTGTGTGGAATAAACTCAAAGCCGTATATGAATCGAAAGGACCTGCGAAGAAGGCTACATTATTAAAACAGCTTTTATTTAGAAAAATGGTGGAAAGCGAAACGATGTCTGAACATTTGAATAATTTCTTCGAAATGGTTGATAAGCTTAAACAAATGGAAATTGACATAGCTGATGATTTATTATCGATTCTTCTGCTCTATAGTATTCCAGAAAATTTTGAAAATTTTAGATGCGCCATCGAATCAAGAGATCAGTTACCTAGTCCCGAATCTTTGAAAATCAAAATGTTAGAAGAATGGGAAGCAAGAAAAGGGAAAACATCTCAAGATTCACAGAATGCATACTATACTGATTATAAAAGAAGAAATCAAGAACAGAAGAAAAATGAAAAATGGAAGGTAAATTCAAACAAAAATTTTCCAGCTGAAAGAAATTTTCGAAACTTGAAGTGTAATTACTGCTCGAAAATTGGGCACAAGGCATCTGAATGCAGAAAGAAAATAGCTGATAGAAAACATGGACAATCAAATAAGGGAAATCAAGGTTCTATGATGGCTTCTAATTATGAAGAGCAGATTAGTTTAGCAGTAAACAATGCTTATCAGAAGACCTCCTCATGGTGCTTAGATAGTGGCTGTACATCTCACATGTGCAATGACAGAAGGTTATTTTCAGAATTTCACCCTCGAACGAATTCAGCCATAAAGTTAGCAGTTGACAAAACAGCAAAATTACAGGAATTGGAACTGTCCTTATAACAGTACCTAACGGAAATAAGACAATTAAACTTACGCTCAAAAATGTGTTATGTGTTCCGGAATTAAAATGTAATTTGCTGTCAACATCTAAAGCTACTACAAATAATCGTTCAGTGATTTTTACAGAACGACATGCTAGAATAATAGAACCAAATGGATCTATACTAGTGCAGGCTATTCGTCATGGTGATCTTTATATATACATCCAAGCACTGAAACAGCTGCAATAGCACAGGTAAGTGATTTTGTAAAGTGGCATCTTAAATTAGGTCATTTAAATGAGTCTGATTTGAAAAGACTTAAGTCTGATAACATGGTTAGAAATTTAAATTTTAATAACACTGAATCTCTAAAAGACTGCAAAGTCTGTATCAGAGGTAAACAAACTGTGCAACCTTTTCAAAAAGAATCAAAATTTCAAAGTGATGAATTACTGTACTTGATTCACTCAGATTTGTGTGGACCTATGAGAGTCCCATCCCATGCTGGTTCGCGTTATTTTGTTACTTTCATAGATGACAAATCGCGTTATGTCGAAGTCAGTTTTCTTAAAACTAAAGATGAAGTGAAAAATGCATTCATTAAATACAAAGCTGCGGTCGAAAATCGTCTAGAAAAGAAAATAAAAATCCTTCGGACTGATAACGGCCTCGAATATCGCGGAGAAGAATTTAATAAATATATTCAAGAATGCGGGATTAAACGAGAATTCTCTGCACCAATGACTCCTCAACAGAATTCGAGAGCTGAACGCATGAACCGCACTTTAACTGAAATGGCCAGATGTTTGTTACTACAAAGTAATCTTTCCGAATCCTTTTGGGCTGAAGCGTTGAACTGTGCTGTTTATATTCGTAATCGTTGCCCGAATCGAAGCCTGGGAGTAAACAAAACACCTTATGAATTATTTTTTGGCATCAAGCCAACTGTATCTCACTTCAAAGTATTCGGACAGAAATGTTTTGTACTTAATAAAAGGTCTAAGGGGAAATTCGATCCTCGATCAGAAGAACATATATTTGTAGGATACTCAAATGAATCGAAAGCATACAGGCTGTGGAATAAAAATTCCAGAAAAATCGTTATAAGCCGAGATGTTAGATTCATTGATGAATTTGAAAACTGTATTAATTATGATAAAGATTTAGAAGTTTTATTTCTCGAAAATATTCCTGATAAAAAGAAGGAAGAACCTCTGAATGTAAATCAAATATCGGCTGATGAAATAACAGAAGACCCCTCAAATATGGCAGAAGCATCTGCTGAATCATCTGATAATGAAGATTCTGATTCCGAAGCAATACCTGAAATGCAGATTAAAAGGGGGCCAGGTCGTCCGAAGAATGTCAAGACTGGGAAGCCAGGAAGACCAAAAAAGGAGTACCACAATATAAACATAGAAAAGGAAGAAGCACAAATTGCTGAAGAAGATACAAATCCGACATTAGAAGAAGCATTAAATGGAAGATATGCTGAAGAATGGCATAAGGCTATGCAAAGCCAGATATTACATATGCCGTCAGTCACCTGAGCCAATTTAATAACAATCCTGGAAAATTACACTGGTTGGCTGCAAAGCGCGTTCTTCGATACTTAAAAGGAACTAAAAATTATTGTTTAAAATTTCGAAAGACTGGAAAAGCACTTATTGGATATACCGATGCCGACTGGGCGTCTGACATTAATACTAGAAAATCGTATACAGGTTACCTATTCAAGCTAGCTGGAAATCCGATAACATGGGAATCACGAAAGCAACAAACTGTTGCATTATCAAGTACTGAAGCAGAGTACATCAGTCTTTCAGAAAGTGCCAAAGAAGCAGTTTATTTACGTCGTTTTCTTAAAGAATTAAATTTTACTGCTGATTATCCAACCATTATATATTGTGATAATCAAGGTGCACAGAAGCTTATGAAAAATGCTGTTTATCACTCACGCACTAAACACATAGATATTAGACATCATTTCATTCGTGAAATTTATGAAAGAAATGAAATAGACGTTAAATATGTGCCAACAGAGAAAATGCCTGCTGATGTACTGACAAAACATTGACTGCTTCGAAACATTCTAAGTGCTGTAAATTAATTGGAATAACTGTAAATGAATAATGTTTATTTTTTTTTTCAGCCGCCAAACGTCGAAAGGGGGATTGTTGTATCATAAATTATAATACGACGTTTAGCTTAAGAGAGCTTCTCCTGACGCATGCGCCGTTCGCGTTTATCCGCGCGGTGATGAATGATGACGTAACTGTTTATTACGTATGTATGTATATGTATACCATTCTTACTTCTTCGTCTTTTTTCTCTGCTGTACGCAACTATGTTTAATTTCTGTCATTAAAAATGTTCATTGATATTACAATCTATTTAGGCTCATTTATTTCTTCAGTAACAATTATTTTTAATACCGGGATTTCGAATGCGTTTTCGGCATTACCTATAGCAGCTTCTTTTGCCAGCATTATCGGCCCTCCCTTTGCATGCAACACCAATATGTGCTTTCACCCAATCCATTTTCACTTCGTGTACTTCTTTAACTTTTACAAGGAAACAATTTATATATAATATCAAAGTTTTTCTTTTAGATTCATTATCAATTTGATCACATATTCAATTGATTTGTAGTTTATAGTTGTTTAACATTTTTTACTTGCATTATTTTGTGACTACACTTATCCGTGTTGTGTTTCTGTCACTTCTAGTACATCTGCAAAATAGCTCGTGCTTTAAAGTACTGCCATTCAAAGAACATAATCCATCGTGATTTGAAACCAGAAAATCTGCTTTTGGATAAAAACATGGAGATAAAGATTTCGGATTTCGGAATGGCGGTCCATGATCTCTCAGGGAAAAGAACCAGCGTGTGTGGTACTTTCGAGTATTTACCTCCAGAGATGCTGAGGAACGAAGCGCACAATGAAAAAGTAGATGTTTGGTGCTTGGGGATTCTGTGCTACGAATTTCTTACCGGAAATCCACCTTTCACTTCTGTGGATATAAATAGAAGGCTTGACCTGATCCAAAGAGCCGAGTTTACATTCCCGGCTTTTATATCTGGTGGAGCCAAGAATTTTATTTCAAAGGTAGTATTTTTTGCTGTCAGAGTAGTGTTAAATTTCATATTCCCGTGAACTTAAAATTTTAAAATCAATAATTGTATTTGTTATGCCCCACTATTATGCACAGGCATTTAACATTAAATTTGACACATTTATCGTGTATGAGTAATTGATATAACTTAATCAACATTTAAATTATTATGTAGCAAGTTATTTAATGAGAATGGTTATCTCGTTTTGCATACTGTAGTTCCTCATGCATTTTTCCTTTTCTTATTTCCTTGCACTAAGTAAAGGAAGTAGTTATTATAAACGCGAAGATTTTCAGTTATCGTATTTTCAACGGAAATATCCCTTTTGACTATCTTTCTTTGCGTAACCTCCAAACGTAAGGACAAAATAAAGGCTCTTTATTCCAAAACGAATTGTAAAATTGATTCAAAATGGATCTTTTCGTAACATCTCTATGTATGTATGTATCACACATAGGATGTTAATTATTGTAAACAAGATATTTTGCATACGATAACAAAAGCAATTAGCCGTAGAACTTTTAAATTTTATATATTGAACTGATGTAGCATCTAATTGTGTACCCTCTATCTAGTTGCTCCGTTATGTATGTATACAATATATTATGTATGTGTGTGTATATGTGTATACACAATCCAGTCACATTAATGTGACATACCCAATCAGAAAAAGCGTGTAGCATCGCACCTATGCTGACTGCAGTCCATCAGAGACGAAGGCTGGAATTTGCACGTCAGTTCTGTAACTGGACGTCCACTGAATGGCGACATGTGGCTTTCTCCGATGAATCACGTTTTATGTTCTATCAGAGAGATGGACGTTGGCATATACGGCGTGAAACATCGGAAAGCAAACACCGTACGACAATTGCCGGGAGGATCCAAGCTGATGAAGGGAGCATTAGGGTCCAGGAAGTGTTCTCGTGGAGTTCTCTGGGTGCACTCATCATTGTGAAAGACACAAGGGACCAATAAAAATACGCATCCCACTCCTACATGCGGAATGTTTTTCCTCCTTTTTTATTCTTTCTTCATCTACCAGCAGGACAATGTGAAGTGTCGCACAGCTCGAAGTGTACGTGCATAGCGCGAACAGCACCAAGATGAGTTTACCGTTCTCCTCTTGCCAGCAAACTCCTCGGACTTGAAACCCATCTAGATCGGGTTTTTCACGCCATGGAACCTCAACCGCGTACCCTAGCGCAGGTAGCCACTACATTGGAGTCGGCATAGCTAAATATCCAAATAAACACCTTCAGGAACCTAACTGACTCTTATCCTGCACGTCTGTCGGCTCTCCGCTCTGCAAAGTATGGATATTCTGGCTTTTGACAAGCAGTCACTACCTAACCCCCTTATACGGCTTTGACCTATGTGTACTTCGTTGGTTGCACACATACCTCCAGTTACAGAAGTGTTTTAAATGCCGGAAATATTCATGGTTTTAAATGCCCAGAAAACGTTTTTGGATGAATAGCGAAATTTAACTTTTAACGCGAAATCTCGATTTCTATGCTTATACTCGGGAAGGTTTTATACTCATTTCGAAAATATAAAAATGCAGGAAGTTTAAATCCTGCACTCCAAAAATTCAATGATATACAATATAAAATTTTCAGTTTTTGATGCCATTGTAAACTCGCCTTGATAAATCGGTTAATTAAGTTTGAATAATTCGAGGAAACATTTAAAATGAAGTGCAAAAAAGAAACGCCTATAACTTAACAGGCCATGCAAGAAATAATATGGTGGCTACACCTGATTTTTTAACTAAATTTATCCGAAAATCGAGAGGGGAAAATTAAGCGAATAATTTCAATTTTTGAAGATTGCGGTTACAGTAAGAACATAAGAAATAAAAAGTAGTCATGGACAAATTACTAATAACTGTCGGAGTTTTATTTCTTTATTCATATCTTGCAAAGTGAATGCATGGCATCATAAAATGCTTACTTTAGAAATTTACATGATATTTTGTCTTTTGTGAAGGAATTAAAAATCCATCATTTATTCAGGTTTTTAATCCTAGGAATTGGGTACTGTAATCGGTATTTCACTCTAAAGGCAAAGCAACTTAGGGTTTAAAGTCGGGGTATGCGTTTGTGCCCATATATTAAGAATGTAATTATGCTGATCAATAACGCCAGCATGTTAAAGAGGGAATAGATCTATAAATGCGGTAAGAAATGAAGAGTTCTTTTGATAAATTGATGGAACGCTGCATGGAAAAAATTCTAGTACGCCAGTGATTGGATGGACATAAACGACACTGGGTTTCAGTTCTGTCAAACTAGCTGGCTGCATGTGTTTCTTTCGTGATATTTCCATGTGCAATATAACGGCAGCTCAGCCTACCGGCTGGTTAGTATCGTTGATTTGCTGTACCGATGTTCTCTTCTCGATCCAGAAGAAGGCATGGAGTTTGTAAGCTTAAAACGTCCGTGAGAAAGGGGCAATCAAAGTACACGGCAAACTGAAAGATCTGTCGACAGATTAATGGTAGAGGAAGACGGTGGAAAAACTTTTCGATCGCCTCCCGGAACGTTCTCCCTCAAAATTGTGATTGAAGTTTAGCAGTTAGTAATGCGTAATATATCTACGATAATGCGCAGATGACGGCCTTCTTCAACCTATATCTGTGTGATGTAACGAACTAAGCTTTAAAATAGCTTCCGGAAAATGCTTATTCGAATATTGCAAAGAACGCAAGAGATATTTACCTAAAGGCCCATGTACACTAGCGGAACTTTGAGTCTAAGAAATGCACGCGGAAGTTGCTAGCTTCACTAAATGGCGAAAATGTTACTCTTTTTTTTTTAACTGAAACTGAATATGTACACATTTAAATAAACAGCCTAACTTATAACATTATTCAAGAGTTTAAGAGTTAAATATTCTCTCATAATACGAAAAAATTGCTGTTTAAAAGCTCTCAAACGAGTCTTCAAATTCGCCTGCGTTTCTTAGGCTCAAAGTTCCGCTAGTGTAAATGGGCCTTTACAGGACGGATCCCTTCATAGAGGACTTACTGAGAAATTGGCTCGTATTCACGTTATACATATGCTAAACACACTGTGCAGCCATGGTTTGGTTTGGTTTGAATTGCATGGCCATTGGCCTGGTTTGAACCAAAGTCCGAACAAGCTGTATTCAGTGGGTCTTAACAACTTGTCCACTAGCGGGGCAGCGTAAATGAACAAGCAAATATTAAAAATTTAATTTTATCTGAGCTCGGAAACTATCAAACTAACAAAAATAGAATGCAATATTTAAAGCAAAAGTTTGAATCGGTTAGCTCTGCTACATTTTAATCATTTTTTACGATATACTTGCCATAATATGCATTTGTGATAATAACAAATACTATAGTTAAATTCGAATAATTCCTTTACATTTTAGAATCAATGGATAAGTAAATTCGAAGTGCTTTTCAGTAAATTCGAAGTGCCTTTCAGTAAATTTATGAAATCTATTAAGTTTTTTTGCAACATATAAATATTTATTTAACGACATTTTTCATGCTACCTGGCTGTTGGGCATTTTCTCCTTTCAGAACCCTTGCAACTGTTAATATCTGAAGATTAATTAAATTTCTTTACATTGGCATATTGTTAGAGATAATAGCTAAACTTTTCTAAATATTAACAGACATTTTTAGCGTATTTTATGTGTATCTTAATTGTGATTTTTTTTCTAAAATTATATTTACAATTTATTGATACAGTTACTAGTTGGAAATCCAGCTGAAAGAATAAGTATACCTGATGTACTGAAAGACAAATGGTTGATGGAAAAAGCTGACAAAAATGAAGACCAATATTGATGTAGGAAAGTAAGTTTAAATGTAAACTATTTATTGAAGAATTAATTTTTTTCTGTTTGTAAAAGTATTTAAGTATTAGAGATTTTAATATGATGATTATCAATTCATACTTCTAATTTTTTTGGTATTTTAAGCTATTCCTATAAGTATGTTTCACAATGACTTAATGGGAAAGCCTTGAAAGGGCTACCTGTGTGTTGGGAATAGTGTTTTCATGGAGGGCGTTCTGATTTCTCTCTTGCTATTTTTATGTTCAATTTACACATGTGATTAAACCACAAAATCCCCATGCGCCTGTTCGATGAAATATGGATCTGGTTCGAAATGCCAGTGTTCAGCGCTCTTAATCGCTCGGCCACAACGTAGCTCATATGTGTGTACATTCTAGATTATTTAGATTATTAGAAAAGAACTCTGAAATATAAGCCGGTACATGTATTACGTACATCAACATTGCATAAAATATTTTATATTCTCTGTTGCTTAAACTTCATAAAATTCAGAAGAATTTTTGAAAAATGTATTAGTTGACCATCTTAATGATATCTTCCTATAGATGTAAATAAAAAAAAAAAAAAAAAAAAGAGAAACTCTAAAATTTAAATTGTTTGTCATGATGATAAAGTAATGGAGCTTCATATGGTAACATAAGCTTCACATTTGAATGTCAAGAATAGTTATTAAACAGTCTCTTAAATTAAACACAAAAGTGTAAGTTTTATATTAGAATATAAAATGACATAAAAATATTTTTCAAAATTATTGACCAGAATTCAGGTCAGCATCACTTCATTAACGGTGTGTACGTTTAATGAATTTGCAAAGGAAAATGAAACTTCATCAAAAAATAGAATGTCCAAAATTTTCGAATAAGATATACGTAAAGTTGAGTCATAAACTTGTTTTTTTTTTTTTTTTTTCTTCTTAATGTTGTTAGTCTATCGAATGTCTACCAGCAGTTGAGGGATGAATGCCTTCAAAATCGCGTAATTATACCTCTGATTGAAGTCCTGGAGACCACATTAGTTGTATCAGCATTTTTTTCTTGTGTAACATAACTAGCAGCTCTTTTCTCTCAGTCTTCCAAAAAGACATCATTCTTAATCAAATTAATGAAATAACCCTATCATAATTCTGAAAGACTTCCCACATTACATTTAATGTAATGCAGTTTTCATTTAACTTATTATAGTAGTAGTTAATTACACTAATATTAGTAAATATTAGTGTTATTTGATAATTTGTTTTCAGAAATGTTCAAAAATAAGTCTCCTAAAATCAGGTCATTTTAATGAACCCTTAGGTTACAAGAAATATCAGAAAATGCAGAATTTTCCAATTGTAAGTTGAGATGCCAGTTTATTTGCATGTAAATACCATTGTAATCTCAAGTATAGAAACAATTTAGTTCTTTTCGTGATATATTCTACAAATGATTGAAGTTTGGTTCTTTTTACGAGTTTCAACAATTTGCCCGAGGTTTCATCATCAATTTTAATATATTACATTTGCAAGTGTTAGAGTACCTTCAAACAGCTTAGAATGTAATAAGAACACATTTAAGTTAAGGAAATTATTAAACTGAGCATCTATGAATAGCAAAGTAATTTGGTTTCTTACACACTAGTTTTTTGAGAAATGCAGCTTGAAAAATATTTCATCTGAAAAAAAAGAAGAAACTTAAACAAGAAACGCAATAATCACTAGAAACAGTTTGCTTACACATAGTATAAATATTTATTATGTAAGAGTATATAAAAATAGCAGGAATTTTTACTACAAAGCCAGAACATCTTGTAGCGAGTTTTTTACGAGCAGATTTCGAAGTTCAAAGCAAGCTGCTCAAAACAGCTAGAGGTTATCGTGAGTTCAATATGAAGTAAGGAAGTAACGGTATAATCTATTCTCATTTTAATAAGTGTTAAATGCAATTTGAAATTAAAGTTATCGCTTTAACAAACTTCAGAATATGTAAATTTTGTCTGATATCGAAAAACACGCGTTTTCGACAAAGCATAAAAAGTGACCTCCGCAATTATTTACGCATGAGATTAGAAAGAATTAACATGCTTTGAATACTTCATAGCATTAAATTTGCTGCCTCAATAACATGAATTAACCAGATCGACAGCCTCAGAGAGTTATAGGGCATTTAAAAGTAGGCCAAATGCAATCAGTTGTAGTAGAAGCTTTCGAAGTGTCCTTATCATTTTATGGAATCTTATTTCAAGTATTAGACGAAAACTACAAGAAGATCATACACGCGTAATAATACAAAATTAGAACCAGTAACTTAACGCTAAAAGCCAGAAGAAAGCCCAATATCAATGCCACTATTTTGCACTTGTACGCTGAGATCTAATAGCATCATATTTTAAACTTAACTCTTCGTAAAAAGGCCTTTTAAAATAAAGGTTTGTATGTTAGAAGATCTATTATTTGGGTTTCTTTAATAGTGATCTATCATGCTAGCCACAGAAGTTGAGCACGAGATAGTAATGAAAAGAAGCAATAATCCTGAAAGTAGGCTTGATAACCTGATAACACACGGCTTATCATTTGTAAATAGTAATCGTAGTAATGCGTGCTTTCTTTCTACCCATTATGTTTATACAATTTCGAATTTTAATTTGGAAATGAGATATTGCTCTTTGGAAACTGGATTTTAATTACGAGTGGCGAATGCTTTTTTTTTCATTTGATGTGTCTTTTTTGTTATGCAAATTTTCCCCATCACAGCAGCATTTCAGTTATTACTTATTTTTCATTTTATATAGTAGCTATTATGAATATTAAATAAGCTCTAAGTAAGGCACCACAATTTTGAACAGAGAAGAGCTGTTTGCAAATTGTATGAGTGACTTTTAAGGGTCACGAGATTGAAGAAGAATAATTATTTTAGTTATTTTGCATTTCATCTGCTTAGTTTCTACTAAGTATCTCCTGAAAGGTAATAAGACTAGCTAGGAGCTTGCTGCGATGTACTGCCGTAAATGGGCATTTTAAAATGGTATAATAATATGATTAGGATTGCCTCTTTTTGGGCATATGCAGTTGTCATTAAGAGAGATTACTTCTGTAAAAAATACATTAAGGAGGGGCAGTATTCAGTCAAGTATTGATTTAGGCAGAAATTGATACTCTCTCTATCATAACGATCTTCTGACCAAAATGCGTGGCGCCTTCTGACTTTGAGGGACGTTATTCCAATCAAGTTGCGATTGTTTGTTCTCTGTTTGCTGATTAGTAAAAGATGACCTTGGTAATTTTATGTATAGAGTCGTGGCATTGATATGCTGGGACTGTTCTTTTGGAAGCAGGTCTGAGTACTCATTATCGAATACGTCTATGTAGGCATTAACCCAAACGCTTTGACGGATATTGTCGGTTAACGAAAAAATAGCTTGAAATATTTATGAAGAGCGCTTCCTGTTGGAAAATGCTGAAAGACTGTCGCACTTGATCGTTATTTTGGGAAATTTATGTATTGCTGTAATTATTGTTTTGAAATAAGTATTTATGGCGTTACTCTTCTGAGAAAACAAGAGTTCTGTTTGAATGAAAGTACATTTATTTCAGACCGGTAAAGAAATAGAGGAGGTTAAAAAAAAAAAAAAAAAAAAAAAAAAAAAAAACTAAAATAAATTGCTCAAACTGTTGGAAGTAATTTATTTGATTTAGACTGTAAATGAAATTTTTAAATCAACGAGAATTGTAAAATCTTATCTTAGGGTGCTCGAAGAACTCTCCTGAATGTTTTGGTTTAATTTAATAATGGTAAAGCACGCAAGAGATATCTGCCGTAGAGGATAGATGCCTTCAATGAGGACATTATAATGAAAACTGGCTTGTGCGTACCATACGCATAAGTAAAACAAAAGAATTTTCATGCAGACAGTCCGTTCGCCTAAAATCCAATCCATTTCGAAGTACGAGAGTTCAGCGACTTTACAGTTCCACTGTTGGTGGGTTTTACTGAAAGGGAAAAGTCTAGGCAAAAGAAACTTCTCGCCTAGTTGGGTAGTCTCGTCCTCCGAATCTTAGTTCTTTTAGCTGGATAATCTTCGTTGTAGGGATACACAAATACAAAGATAGGTAGACAATTATGTGAACAGACTGGAGAATAAATGCATAGATAAAGAGGTATATAAAGCGAAAGATAGGTAGCTGTGTTTCTCACGCTAAGTAATTGTTTGACATTAATATATTATTTACGGCATCTCTCTCGTATTAAATGAAGTTTCTCATGCATTTGCTTTCGAAACCAAACTCAAGAATTTTTAGTTTGCCAAACTAAATTGGAAATATAATGTTGATAATCCATTTTTCTTTAAAAAATATTAAATTGGTAAATAAATTGCAATTATCTAGTGAATATAAATATTTAAATGGTAATGATGATTTGGCACCAAATTTTATAAAATGAAAGTGGACTTGTCCTCCAGTTTTTTTTCACTCTCTACGTTACTTGAAACTTTTTAAGTAGCATCCAAAATAATAAAATGCGTTTAAATAAAGGAACAAGTGTCGATTCTTTCAGAAAACTATTGCAAGAGATATTTAGCATGGAATAACCATCAAATTTTAAGGGAAGGTCATTTTTCAGAGGGAATGCATTTAAATGTATTACCGTTTGAAAAAGAGTGCATTGATAAGCTCCATGATGTTTCAGAAAATGCTAGTAAGTCTTACACGTTGGACATTAAAAGAAAAACTTGCTTGGCAAAAATTTAGGTGTGTTTAGTTATAATAAAGTATGCTAGAACTGTATGCTTAAAGGAAAGGAGACTTTCGCGAAGCACTTTATAATTGAAACTGGTACTCATCCTTGTTGCGCATACGGGACAAACAAAAAAAAATGAAATTTAAACAATCGATAATATAAATATGGTCCCTGCCGTTTTTAATATATGCAATGCTTATATGGGCAGACAAAGCTAGTATGCGTTGTCGTAATAATAAAAATCTAGTATAAGTTATATATTTGAGTCGCTAGTGGCCGAATGGTT